GAGGGTGAGAGGGGAATTTTTTTATATATATATATATATATATATATATATAATTATATATATATAATTTTATCTACAGATAATTAAACATGCCTACCAAGAGAAAGAAAGTGAAAAGATATCAAGATTATCAAAAATATAAGTTTGCCGGTTCAAAATGGAAGTGCACATTGACACACATTGTCATACAAATATATAAATATAAATATACATTTTGTGACAACCTGTTTGTTGAACAGAGCTGCTTGAACTGCTTGAACTGTTTTCCGCTCTGCCTCGGCCCCTCCCGACCTACCACACTTTCAGACACGCCCCTGATCACGCCCTATGTTCCTATGACTCACCTGATTGGTCCGCTATTCTATTCAATCTGGTTCCTGTCCCGTTTGTAAAGATGGCAGTTTCCCTCCAGACCGTGTCGTAGCAAGAACAAATAACCGCCGCCAACATTCTGCAAGCCTTGCCGTCCATTGCAGGAACTATTACAATAAAATTCCGAGGCTGTGTTATCTTTCGCCGGTTCCTAATAGCACCACTGATATGCTGAGTAGCTACAATCACTGTGGACCGATTAAAACAAAATAAAAGTAAAAAGTCTATTCCTGTGCACCAGCCTGTTCGACTTGCAAGCCGGAAGTCCTGAGAAGTGTGTGACGTCACCGAGTTTAAAGTTACTCGTAAGTCCTAGAATTAAACATTTATTTATAAAAACTAATTATCTGTGCTCTATAATGACATTAAAATGTTACATTTGTCCAGTGCAGATGCAAAGAATGGATTCCTGCTTCTGATTTGCGTGAGACTGTCACGTAACCTGTAAGTCTTTCTTCTTTTTTTTTCTTTTTTTTGTCAGCTGTTAACACCTTTTAGACAGAGGCCAAAAATGATTATTGAGACTGCAAAGGCAGAACATAGAGCTGCTTAGTTTATGCTTATGTAAAGAAAAAAAAAACAATATTTCTTTAAAAGAAAAAAAAAAGCTTAAAATGCATCAAAGATAACCTTTAGGATCTGCTTCTCTAAGTAAATAAAACATGTCTTAAGAGCTCTCGGTGTTTATTGATGAGTAATCGGGGTCATGGCATTGGTCAGTGGCTATTCATCTATAATGCATTCACATGGAACTGGGCATGAATAACATTATGTTGAAATTGCTTCAGAAGAAAGCAACTACGAATAGCATTCAGTTTTCTTGTTTTTCTCTATCCTTCCTTTTCAGTGCTTTGTCACACAAAATGTGTTTTAGCCACTCATCATACTTTTAGTTTTCTGTTCAGATAGTCTTCCTCAGTTTGATGCATTACAATTGATGAGCTGTAGTACACAGAATAATTCTCACAAAATGTGGAAGAGCTGTGTTTGCTCACATTTAGAAATGAAGCATGTTTGGGAAATTGGTCAAGTTTGTTTTCAGGTACAATTTTGTTACATACAGCAGTAGCATTAGCAACACGGCTAATTTTTTACCATAACGCTCAACAATGGCATTATGGTAACTCGAGAAGACCACTTCAAAAGTGGATCTCAGTCTGGTTGTTTGGTTTGCTCCAGAGTTCTTATGAGTCTCTTCACTCCATAACTGAACCCAGAGCATATTTTAAACTTTTATCTAATACAGTGCTTAAAAAAAATAACAATAAAATCAATAAAAAAAAAAAAACCTGAATCTGTCAAGCAAGTCTGACCTTAAAGAAAATCAAAATTGGCCATGGAAACATCTAAAAATCTTTCCGTCCTCCACTGCCATTTAAAATCACAAGCTTGTGTCAAGAAACCAAAATATATATCTCTCATAACACTAACGAACTTTTAGATCTGTAAAAATGCTACTTGACAAAATAAATGATCTGGATGGAAGTGTAGGTGACACTTATTCTCTCTCTCTCTCTCTCTCTCTCTCTCTATATATATATATATATATATATATTTCATCTTTTTTTTTTCAACCTTTTAGGTAACTTTTCACCTTTTTCTTTGATAATTGTCATGTTTGTTCAGTCTTACCGGGACATTTGGGAATATAATTTGTTAATGTAAACAGCCAAACAGACCAGAGCAGTGATTGCAGCCTTCTTGAATAATTAGAAATATTAATTAATGGTAATCAGGCCTCTGTTGGTGGTTGACCCTGCTTTCACTATGGTAACCACAGCTCACAAACACAACAGCGGATGCTAAGTAGCTCTGAGTGTGTGTTGTATTTCATCTGAGACAAGAGAAGCTTCTGTAGCTGGCAGCACATTAGTGTCTCTGCATTAATGAGAGAAGATGATGACACACACATATACAGTTAAAGTCTCACTGAATGCCCAGGAGAGCTCGATTTATGGCGTCTGTGTGCTGTGGATGTATGTTAAAGGTGGGGACACACGATTAATGGACATTACTTTTTAAAGGGCGCCATGGTAACAGATGTTGAGGAGAGCATTTCTCATCGTGCCAGCGTCTCGCACACTTTAAATCACCACTTTCTGATGGAAGCGATGTGAAAACACCTTCAAGCTCAACCTATGTGGTCTTTTTTTTCCACATGCCAGTTAGAATAATAAGCCACTCCATCAAAACTACTGACTTGATAACATTTACAGCCAATCAAATCACGCTACTGTTTTAGACAGAATAAATGTTTGTGTTTTTAACCGTCTTTTGTAAGTTATTCTGACAAGTCTGAAACAACGTAGCATAATCATTGAAGCATCAGTAATTTTAATAAAGCACAATTTTACTTTCAGACCCACTCATGCCCTGTGGTGCTATACTGCATTAGCATCATCTCTGCATAAGATCTTGTGCATAGAAGCATACATAAGGAAGACAGATAAACTGGCCTGCAAATGAAAACATGTTTGGAAATTTTTAATTCAAAGTGGCAACTCAGAGATGAGGATAAGGAAAACAGGATGTAATGTTTAAAAGTTACTGATAAAAGTTGCAGATATTTTTAAATTTAGCAACGTCTATGCTAGATTTTAGACCTGCATTTGGCAGAACTGATGGAAATATTCTTAAACACAAAACGGGGATTAGCCAACAGTGCTAAAGGTTAATGTCAAATATTGACAAGTCCCAGTTCTGGTGGAAATAGAGTTTCACAGGGTTGAGTGTTTGAACCACCATCACCTTTTGTCTATTGTGAAGTCCAGATACCCACATTGGGGAAATTGTTTTATGCCAAATAATCTTTTCCCTGCATTTCTGCCTAAACCACAAAAGGTTTCTCTGTATAAATTTTCAGGATATTTTGTCCAATTTCCAATTATTCTGACCTCTTCCTACCATAAAATTCATAAATATTTCCCGAGATATAGACAGCTCGCACTGATAAGAATAAAATGGAAGAAAGGTGAAATAAAAGTAGAACAATTGGAGCTTAATTTGAAAATCACGCACCAGAGAACAGCACTCAGGTGACTGACCCACAGAAATGTCCAGCCATTGTGCTTGCGGTTTTCTGTTTCTCTCTTCATCTCCTCCTTTATTACTCATCTTTTTTTTTTTTTTTGTGCAGCAGGTCGTCCAGCTAACGGGTTAATTAGCTGAGGGAAGTACTCTGTAGAGGAAATGTCACAGTGGGTGGCTGCAGTTTGACTTCTCGCATGGGAGGTTAAAGGTCGACAGTGGGTTTACTGAACCTCTTCTTCTTCCCCTTTTTGAGTTAAATGTCACAGAGGAGCCATTAGCTCTGCTGGGAGAAGATTCAAGTGGTGAACTGAAGGAGAGCTGTAGCTTATGGACCTCACAGACCAATGAGATGCCTCACTGAGGCTGAGGTGATGCAAATCCAACTAGGTTTCATGGAAACATGATTCGTCCCATCCAGGTTCAATGGTTGTAAAAGGGCACCGATTTGTTTAAAGAAAATGGGGGGGAAAAAGAAGGATCACTGAATAACCTGTTGCTCAAATAAGCTTTTAGGCAATTAAATATATTGAAGATTATTTTCTGATCGGTTTTAGAGTCCTAAACTGCTACTCTTTACATGGTTACTGGTTCCAATATTGGGTCATTTATGGCTTTTCTTAGATAGTTTTACAGCAACAGAAACTCATGAGTTTCCATGACTTGAAACATAGTCATTAGAAAAAGTGAGCCCCATTATTGTAGCAGAAAAACAGTTTTCTGTGTGACTTTATCAGCCTTCCATGTCATAGTAAGGAGATTTGAGCGTCTCTTCTTTATAAAACATTGTCTTTGCTGGCATTACTCAATTCAGGCCAACCTTCAGCTGTCAGTCAGATGACCTGACATTTGAGTGTAGAGTACTTCAGGAGATAGCGGTCTACTCACATACCATGCAAGATGTCTGGGTACCGTTGGTGCAAAACCAGCCCAAATGATCACACCTCCACCACCGTGCTTGGTAGACAAGATGCTTGTGTGGAGGATTTTCGTTTTCTATATCTAAGAACATTGTTCCAGAAGTCTTTAACTTTTGAAACTTGAATTTTATTTTAATTTGTTTATTTATTTATTTATTTTTACTTTTAAGGGAAGATACTTTCTTTGTTAATCTTTCCATACTGGTATGTTTGTTTGTTTTTTTTTTTTTTTCATAACTGTGTTGTTAACTTTGAGCATACTAACTGAGACCTATAAAGTCTCACATTGAATCCTGAGGTTTTGTGTGGACTTTGGACATTCATAGCTTGGGGTTATTTTGCTAGGGTGTCTGTGGGGAAATTAGTAGTTTGAAAAACATTTTTTAAGCCTTTTCAGGCTTAAAATGGCCTTTATGGGCAGCAACAGTTGCTGTTAGAAAGTCATTGTTAATGCATTTTCCTGCTGGCATTGTGTAAACAAACGCCTATATGATTCAGAGGTGCAAACTGCCAAAACATCTGTATTGAAATGTGAACAACTGGTTCACATTTCATTACTACACATTACTATCTAAATTATATTTAAGCAGCAATGGTGGATCTGAATATTTGGATTTGACTAAGCCCGCACCTTTCACATTTCAACCTGGATGCTGAATTGTAATGAAATGTGTACTAACAGTGACAGCAAGATGCATCTAGAATTAAACACCTTAACAGGAACGAAACATGGCTTATTCCTCTTGCCAGTAATCACCTGACATTTTGGATTTCCCCATTTTTCCCCAGCATTTTCTGTGTTTTTAAGCAGCCAGACATGTGCACAAATGTTACTCTGTGGGTGATTGGCTCTGTGTGTGTTATAAAAGCACCAATCAGCATTTGTTATGAAAAAAAAAGCTGTTGAAAAGGCCCCCAATGAGTGCCATTACAAAGGAACAGCAAACTTTGGGCAGCGGCAATCAGTCTCATTCTCTGTCGATGTGGCTCAAACGAAGGTGACGTCACAGGCAGCAGCAGGGAGCTGATTGAACTTAATATAGAGGATTGTGCGTTGTGTTCCGTCAAGTTGTAATTTTAATGAACAGCGGGGAAAGGAGCTTTT